TCCACAATGTCAATACACAAAGTATGTATACCTGGTTTCTGGATGTGATGCAACACATTGCAAAAGTGCCAGAGCATTGCATACTCTGTTGGATTGATGAGCTGTCAACGTTGGTGGATTTATAGATGGGTAGATATTTACAATTTCCTATGAAAAAGAAAAACCACTACCGTGAAAATATTTCCTATTGAAGCATTACCGAACACCCCACTAATTAATTATGATCCATTGACAGAAAGAATTGTTATGGAAATCTTCATAGTTTCAATTGGCACATCCCAAATTCTTTATTACTATCTTCCAAGTTCCTTTGGAACTTCGTTCAGAACAACTGTAAATATATTATCATGTATTCATTTTCTCAGTTGAACTTTAAAGTTGTAGTAATTTGTATCTAGATATGTGCAAAATGAATTGCTTTTAAAATAGGTGGGTCAGCTATCTCAATTAAAAGTTGCATTCAACCTACCTGTAACAGAGCTGCGATTGTGCCAAATGAGTGCCATAACATTGGGGCAAGATCAGGGACAGACTCTCGTTTTTTACTCAGCTCCAATAGTGCATTTTCACGAGTTTCAGGACTGGATAGTTCATTAATCCACTGGTAAATCTTCTCTCGATCAACCTGTGCAAGTGCCGTTGGCACTGGCTTTAAAAAGAGATAACACACTTAAGGAAACTTTTTAATTGTGATCAACTTCAAGTAATTAATACTTCAATTGAAACAGGGAAAGCAGCAGATTAAGTGGCATTCTTCAGAAAGTAGATGACCGCTGCCTTTTTGAAGGCTAGTGGCACGAACCTGTCATGCAAACATGCATCCTATTTTGTGGAACTCCCCAATCAATCCCTTATGGTGAGTTCAAATAAACCAAGACAGAAAAGGAACAAAAGTGAATGTGTTATGGTGGAGACCTTAAAACGGTGGGTCTCAACCTTCCTAATGCTGCGACCCTTTAATACAGTTCCTCATGTTGTGGTGACCCCCAACCATAAAATTATTTTATGTTTTCCATATTTTTTGGAAAATATGTTTTCCGATGGTCTTAGGCAA